GTTTCCACCTCGTGAACTTATCATGTGCACTAGCCTTATTATCTGAGGGAGTTAACGTTGGACAGCCTAATTGATAACGGAAACAGTTCTAGACTTCAAGTTCTGTCTTTTGAACTCGTTTGAGGTAAAACGAAAAACCACCTCAAAAGCCTTCCTCATTAAAATATACATGTTTGTATGTAACTCGGTGCTACGGTAAACATCAACAGCTTTGATAGTTCTAATTCTTCCATCCCTATCGCATTTTAGGAAAATGTCCTTCAATAAAATATGTGAATTTAGATGAAGAAAATCAAGCAAAAAAATCTTACATAGAAATAAATAAAGGCTGAAGATGCAATTATGATAATTATGTCTGTCCTTCAAATTTGTTTGAGCTGTTTTACATAGAAATAAATAAAGGCTGAAGATGCAATTATGATAATTATGTCTGTCCTTCAAATTTGTTTGAGCTGTTTTGGGGTTTAACTCCTTGTGTTGTCTAAGGTAATATGAAGATGGCCCTTTGAATGAAAAAGAGACGTTTTGTATATTGTACGCTCAAAGTTATTTGAAAGAGAAAGCAGAATTTACATACTGCTCATTACGACGGCAAAACAAAATCTTCTCGAATTTTTACAACACGCAGATAGAAATAACAATTAACAAATGATTTCAATTATTACTTTTATCAGTTTGTATTTATATTTTTCCATGTTTCCACATCAATCTATGTGTGATTAATATAGGGCATCTCACTTCCGGTTCAGGCAACATAAAAACGATCGAAAACAGCTTGATCGGTTATTATGATATATGATATATTGGTTATTATGATATTTTTCTCTGGCAAATAGAATATCATAATAAGCAGGTTCCACTGTAATGGTTCTCCTGGTTCTTCAAGTTTGACTTGTTCTATAAAGAAGTTGTTATATATCTTGATGAATTTTGAAGTACATACATGTACACTTGCTTCATCCACAGCCAGTGTGAAGTGTGCTGTATTTATATATATAAATGACCTTCACATCCACCTCAAAGGTCATGTATCTGCAAAATTTTCAGTAAGATGTCTTCCAGGTTGTACATTTTAAACTGTTGAAGAGATCTTGATGAAATGCAGAATTACCCAGTACACCTTCATCATGTACAGGAGGTGTGCATTGGACAGTAATCAGGTCACTGTGACCTTTACCTCATGGTCAAAGGTCAAATAATTCATTATAAGTGTATAATTTCAAATAAAATCTTGTCCTGGCTCAAAATTGTTTAACCATTAAAGATTTAATCTGAGAAGTATATCTGTATCACAGAAAGAAGGTGTTCAAACTACAGTGTATGTGTCACTGTGACCTTCACCTATAGTTTACCATAATTAGGTGACCATGGAGTCTCACTCAAGGTCAAAGTTCAATCAAGTGCATTTTTTTTTTAAATATTTATATAACAGGTTGTAACATTTAAACTGTAAAAGATATCTTAATGAATCTCGAAGCTACCTGCATCTTTTACAGAATGCATAATGCTCACAGTATATAGATATAGATCACTATGACCTTTGCCTCTTAAATAAGAGCAAAATATTAGTAAAATCTTGTTTGAATATCAGACTTTAAAGGACAGACTTGCATTTTATATAAAAAAAAATCATATGGTTCAAATTGAAATCATATCTTAAGTTTATAATTTAATTATATTTGTTATCAAAGCTCTTAGATATAAATGGCTAGATAAATATCAGTACAAGTATGTCGTAAATCGGGAAACAAATGTCACTTTTCATTTTCAGTTTAATTTAGCGTTCTATAATCCTGTGAAATATTTCTTTTTACAGAAACTAACGAATTCATATTTTTCTTTGAAATATGATATCCCCAGGCAAATTATAAAAAGATATTTACTTTGAATCAAATGCAATGATTTAATCTGACAAAATACTGTTTACAGTACAGTCGCGCCTGACGCTGTAAGCTATAACCACAGATAACCAAAACCACATGTGCTTATGTTTCCATAAAATTATCAAGATGCATGCCTCGGAGTAAAATATAACAGTCCCGTGGGTCTGTTACAGAGTTGTGTATAAAGAAGTGCAGGTCCACTGTTTTTGGCGATGTGCTATCTTTTCCTATCTGGTTTGTTGGTGTTTTGGGGTTATCTGTGCCCAAAACTGCACAGGATGTACAGTCTGTGTTTTTTCTGTTTACAATCTTGTTCGCCAGTACAACACAGCAGCGGCCAATTATATCTGGTTTGTGTACAATTTTTTTTACTATTTTTCATTTTTTTTTGGATGAATCATTGAACAGTTTTCTTTCTCAATCATCCTCCACAAAAGGTGTACCTGTTGCCAGGGTAACTAAATCACAGACACTGTAGTTGACGTCGGTTTCAATTTTCTGAAAAATTTGAATGGGACTATAATGTAGCCTCCAAGAATATTTTCTAAAATATTTATTAAAAAAAATATTCTCAGATATAAAAAAAAAATTCTTTCATTAATTGAAAAATTGAAAACAATTAATGTACAGTGTTGATTGTCATGATAAATATCATAAATTTGTAAACAATTTTATTTATTTGAACACAAATATCCTTTACTATAAAGTGATGATTTAGGGTTCCAGGGATAATAGTAATTCTGACAATGGTACGTTACTGTGGTCTAGGACTACTTTCTGTGGTAATTAGACAAATTGTTCCAGCGACTTTAGACTGGTGGATTTAAATTATACTCTTCATTTTCTTGATAAGCCCCCAGCAACAGAACATCTAGGAGGCCTGAAACAGAGTGTTTTTAATACACCAGCAAATCAAAATTTCCAGTTTTTGTTTCCCTTGATACAGTATATATTACATTTGAGTACTAACTTAAAGTTTTGTTTAAAATTTGCAGTCTTCTCTGAGTCCTTATAATTTCTTGGTCATTCCCTACATGAAACATTAAATAAAGTCAGACCTGTATAATCAAATCCCTGAGTATTCTGACATAACTAATCCAGATGAATGAAGTACACTGTTTCTAGGGAAAACTATCAAATAAGACCTGTGAATTTTGGCAACCTTTGACCAATATATTGTGTCCCTCAGGCTGTTGTATTAGACTGAGTGTCAGGCTAGACAGGTTATTCTGACGATAAGTTTTGGTCTCAGAGAATGGCAGTTTAGACAGGTTATTCTGACAATAAGTTTTGTCTCAGAGGATGTCAGTTTAGACAGGTTATTCTGATCAATATTTTGTGTCCCACAGCGGTGTCAGATAAGACTGATTAATCTGACAGATATGTTTTGACTCACAGGATGTCAGATAAGACAGGTTAATCTGACCAACATATTGTGTCCCATAAAGTGTTGGGTTAGATAGATTGTCAGTTTAGACAGGTTAATCATACCAATATATTGTCTCCAAGAACGTGTCGGATTAGACAGGGCATTGGATCAGGAAGTTTAATCTGTGGATATATGTTGTGTGCCGCAGAGTGTCTGGTTTTACAAATGTCTTGTAACATGATCATGTATTTCAAAATGAACTAACCAACTTTTTTGTTGTCCCTTGGACCATGGCCATTAAAATTAGATGAAAATGTATTAAATATAAAACAGGTAAGTAGGAAAGCATTGACTAGTTGTTAGCCTTTCGCTTATTAGAGATTCATCGGTAAAAAATGATTAAGCAGAAATTCACTTTATGATGTCGAAGTTGGTTTCTTTTTTATTTCAATAATACCGGATCTCCTGGTATTAATTTTACGGTTACATAATTATGCATATATACTTGCATTTTAAATGTTTATTACAAACATTTACACCCGGAAGTAAGAAGTATCAATTCACGTTATAATTTTTATCTCATTGCCATATCAGCTGTCTATCCGTAATTTGTTGGTGAAAATTCTGTCCCACATATACCAGACAAACAAGTTTCAGTATTTATTACCCAGGCTACTTTTATGCCTAATGGCCGAGAATTGCGGTTTTATGTGTAGAATTTGTTGATAGAAACATTGGGGCCAGGTACGTTAATTTAATGTGCTTTTGACTGTTTCAAGTTTTATTTTGTTGGGCTCACAGGGGGTAATCATCTCACTCCGGGTACAAACTACCTCCGATGTACGTAAAAATATAGACAGGAATCATGTTTGGGCAAAAGAAATTGGTTTGATTCAACACCAGACAATCAGTAAAAAATGTAATAATTTCTACATTAATATCATATTTAACCCTTTCACTTACTGTAGACCATAATGGACTCATCCATATCAATGCATGGTAGAGTCTACTCAAGTTACATAGGGTTGAAAGGGTTAAAACTAAAAACACTATATCAGTTTTGTTCAGGTTCTGAAGATATCACTCCACTTGTACGCGATCAAACTTCAAGGATTTTAGTTCAGTTATTAAACAAGTATTTAATCAAAATTGAGAGAGAGAAAAATGAGAAGAAGGAGGTGTAAAGAAACAGAGATTCTTTCTGATGGTAAGTCTGATTTTTTGTGGTTTAAATTAAAACATTAAGAAGGATGTTTCTAAGAAAAGTCTGTATTCTGTGTCTTTTCTTAAACGCTGAGGTAATGAATTTACTATATGACAGCTGACACTATCAGTTAACAGTTCTAAATATTTTGTTTGTTGAAAGATGAAATTTAACACGGAGTGGTTTTATTGGTGAAGAATGAAAATAGACAGGTACATTTTATTTATCTCAAAAATAGCTTATGTGACATTTTATGAGTCAGGAAAGTCTGTATCCTATTATAATTTGACCCCAGACAAATTTGAAACGAACAGGATATTTACAAAAAGTAAAATAATCACCCCAAGTGGTAATTGTGCGACACACCATCCTCCAATGACGTCAGCCCCTAGGGAGCCCCATGTACCTCCTGGTACCTGGGACGACACACCATCCTCCAATGACGTCAGCCCCTAGGGAGCCCCATGTACCTCCTGGTACTGGGACGATACAATCAAGGTCTTCAGTACACTAAATGTGTATATATATAAAGTATGTATATATATATCAGCTAGCTCTTTAAAGTTAGCGACATGGGAAGGTATTGGGTTTTGATGTAGAAAAACTGAAACAATATATACTCTCTTCCTTAGTGGAACAAAATGATCGACCCATGCCATCAGACCGACTTGTTTACGATGAAGAAGCTGACTGATTCTGGTAGCTACAGTTTTAAGTAAAGGGGAAATCTCACTGAGTCGTTTATTATATTCATCTGTGGGATTTTGAAGACAGAAAAGTCTGGAGAAACGTCCGACCTGTTCACAGGAAAAATATCAAAAAATCGTGATGGTCAAGGACACAAGATATCAACACTACTGGCCTAAAATCTCATTCCTCCCGTCCGTATCAGACGAGGTGAATTTTAAAGGACCTCACATTTGTAATACAGAGTAAGATTATATCTAAGTGTGTGGTAGAATTGCGTGTCCAATCTTTAATTTTGATATAGATGTCAAATAATTTAACCGTCAATCTGCAGTATCTCATAAATATTCATAGATGTTTTTGTTGAAGTTATTCATATGTATACCTATTAGCAGAGATCCCCAAGCTTTGTGTACGTGTTGCGTACGAAGTTTCGGTCCTCAAAGGAAGTTTTAAACGATGTGACAGAAAAAAAGCATTTCTACTGCCACGGGGAGGAATTCATTATTTATATTGAAATATACAAATTACAGTCTGTGTATTCAACAAGCCTGTGTAAGCATCCAAATTGTTAAACCTGAGTGATGGAACGGGAATATCTTTGTACGTACGTAACTCGTCTACCTGGAGAAGTGCGATAGATATATTACATTGTATACGGGTAACGCCTAATGCATAATCAAACTCTAGCCTGCCACAGAAAGGTTGCGTACCTCTATCTTTTCACCTGTGTATTGACATCAATAAGTGCGTGTGACGTCTGCATCAGGAGATGGAATAATAACTGTGTTTTTACCCACAGCCTATGAATACATTACACAGCCGTATCTGGATAAACTCCACTTCAGATCGCGGACTCTGATTGTAATGTAAAGGAGAAATAATGATTTGTTTACACCTTAAAGAACCGGTTGACGTATACATTTTGCTGAGTGACAAAAGCAGATCAACTTTGTCTTAATAGATAATGTACATTCATGATTCTGGCGTATTGAATTACGCATGCAGTGTATTGCCGTTCACAACATTTCGTTCCGACAATTTGGAAAAACTTTACATGAGGGAAATTGAGCTGTGGTGATTTGGAGTTTACTGATACTACTGTAGATATACAGATGAAAGTGTTTTTAATACGTAAAAGAAAGGCGAACGTGGATTGTTATTAACACTGAAGCGGATCTGCTCCCGTTTCTTTATAACCTCTATTGCCTATTCTGACTGGTGGTCGACTGTGGGACAAAATATACACATTTGTTGGAGGGATTGACTTTCACTCAGCAAGGTCTTACAAGTGTGTGTATTCGGTGTGCAAGCACGAGGAAAACTCAGACTTATATGCTGACTGTTTCATATCAAATACATATCATCTCAAATGCCAAAAGCTCATATGTGACTCGTCTTTGAAAAGAAATGAAAATCTCTTTATGAATCAATTTTGTCTGTGAGAGTTTGATATTTGGTACGGAGACTGGCAAGGGCTGACAAGCTGACGAGGAACAATTTACTCTGTTACCTGTAATTGATCGAGCTTTACCTGTGGTAATTTGACAGGTGACATTACTGTACGGTTGTTAATACTGTAGTTAATAATTTTATCGACTTTGGTGTCATCACCTATATATTACTTGTTTAGGACATGTGACCTGGAATTTAAGTGCAAAACTAAAATTCGACAAATTTCTAGAAACTGGTGAATTTTAAAGTATAGATTTTCAATAAAATATGCAGGTGACAGTTGTTCAGCAATATTGCCACTAAACAAATTGTAAGAGATCTTAGGATCAAGATGGTTTTCACACGGCTAGAGGATGAACGGAAGATAATCGAGGATGACCCGCAGCCCTCTGCCAGTAGAAAATGGTGAGTATGGCTGTAACGACCTTGAATTGTTGATTGGGTGAACAGTTTGAGTTAAGTTTACCCATTCATTTAGGAGAATTTGAGGCAGAACATTCATGTTTCTATATTTCTTGATGTATTTTGTCCATGAAGTTACATACATTTTGAGCTAAGTTTAGCCATTCATTTAGGAGAATTTGAGGCAGAACATTCATGTTTCTATATTTCTTGATATATTTTGTCCATGAAGTTACATACATTTTGAGCTAAGTTTAGCCATTCACTTAGGAGAATTTCAGGCAGAACATTCATGTTTCTATATTTCTTGATATATTTTGTCCATCATGTTACATACATGTGCCTGCCAAGTTCTTGGTAACGAAATGAACTTCATACACAGTCGAAATTGAGATCAGCCCTGCTTATTGCAGATCATTTCAGTATGTCAACTTTTCAAAGTCATCATTATCAGTGGTATGGTATTTGAACTATAAAAAAATGCCATTTCATATACTTGTTTGTGTTTTCAAAGGATTTTATTTAATATTCAAAGCTTAAAAAATATAATTTTGAAACAAATATCATCGTTTGGATAAGCAATGCAGATGTAAGAGATTCCAAAATATGCTACAATCTGTTCAGGTCGTGGAGGTCATCTGCAAATTGACCTTTGCAGGTGACTTAGCAGGTATAAAGTTTAATAGCAATTCAGATTCAGGTGTCAAAGTTCAGCTGTATTCTTCCAGGAACAAAATATGGGGGGGGGGGGGGGTATTTTCATACAACACCAGTTAATTGGCACAGCTAATCACTATAAGAAGGGCAGCTTGAAGTGTGGTGTTATTGTGTAATTTATGGAGAACAAAAATATGTTCAATATTTAGGGTTACACAATAAATTACATCTATTCAGTTAAGTGAGTACAATTAACTTATAACATGTGATGTCTGGTGGAACTTGACTCAGGGTGCAGTGCTAGGTTGCTCATATAGCTGGTTAGAGCATGTGATTAGATGTCTTGGGTTCGAATCCCAGTCTTGATGTTGTAATTTGTTTGCCTGTTACTATGACACTCAATTTAAAAAAATCATGGAAAATGATATATATAAAGGGTCCTGTGTCTGTCTTCTCGGCTGAAGACTTTGTTGTAGGAAGGAAGAGGGTATAGCAGGTACAGGGCTTATATGGTCAATTGGCAGTGATCTGGTAGAGTAGTTGGTTTGAATGACCAGAGTTCAGCATGTACCAGTCTGGCTATTTCTCATAGTTTCAGTATTCAGTAATGGACGCGATATATAACATGTTGTCAGCTCTGTATGGATTGAAGTATGTATTTGCAACTTCAAACTTTGTTCGTCCGTCAGGGCTCATTGAATGATCTAAGTGTCATACCCAGAAATGTCATATTACTAGGACATATTGAAGTATGACATTGATTCACCTTATAAACTTTGAAATCACTATCAATGACACTTATATACTGTATACATTTTGCCATTTTGCAAGAAGGTCACTATGACCTCACTGTGACCTATGACTTGACCTTTGACGTTAACTTTTGAAAAAGTTTGTCAGGGGCATATCTTCTGTACTATTCTACCTGAAGAAGCCAGATTTGGTTTTTCAAGGACATCTTGGGATGAGAGAGTGCAGAGTGCAAGAACTAGGTCACTGTGACCCATGACTTGACCTTTGACCTTAATTTCACTTTTGAAAATATTTGTCCGGGGCATATCTTCTATACTATTTCACCTTCAGTAACAAGATTTGGTGTACAATGACATCTAGGGATGGCCGAGTGCAAGAAGTAGGTCACTATGATCTCACTGTGACCTATGCTTTCTGACAAATGTGAACTGTTTGTTAAGTATAGAAATCATTGCTGGTGGGGGACTATGGGTTGCCTCGCAATACTTTAATTGCCTTGATTTTAATTCATCATGATTATTTTCCCATAAAAGTTACACAAAGCAACAGTTTTCTTTTCAGAAAAGATTTATCAAAGCTATATAGTTATCCAGGAAAAAAAAGTTTTGTAAGCGCAGTTAAAGGTTTTACAGTGGAACATGCATCCTTAATTATGTAAATAAGGAACACCCAGACTGTGTATCAATTTACTAATTAGGAAAGTGATTTTGATTACTCGTTAGTCATCCTCGTTATCACCTTGCTTCTGATGTAGTCGAGGTACTCTTGATGGTGATGGATTGGAAAGCTTCGTCATTTACGACAGAAATAAAACAAAGAAATGAATATGCCTGCTCATGACAGTACTATTCCGAGTGTATATATGATAATTTGTGTTGGCAGAGACTCGGGACATGTTCTGGGGACGGTGTCCTGTTAGGAATATTAATGTCTATAATGCTACAAATACAGATTGTGGGACAGTCTCAACAGAAGTACTTCTATCAATCATAGAAATTGATTGGTTCATGGTCATCACGAGGGCAGAAAAAAACTATTTATACAGAGCTGTATACATCGATCAATATCGAATGTTAAACACAATAGATCGTTTGATGCATATAAACACGAATATTATTAATTTGGAAATACATTGCAATTGAAATGTCAATTCATGTCAAATAATTATTTTTTAAACTTTGTCCAGGGCTGTGTTAATTTGTTGACAGTCTAATTAATTATATTGATTGTATTTCACATACAAACATATGACACTAAATTTGATGCAGATATAATCAATACTTCTACTTGATGTTGATGTTGCAAGAAGTATAAACAATATATGCTTATTTATTTTATGACCTGTTTGGATATCCGACAAAAATTGTTACTGATGCAGGGTGTCAAACCCAGGCCTAGGAGTACACATGTGACCACAGTTCAAACTCTGTCAAATGCTCTTGACCGCACAGCTGACCAGGCTGGTTAATTCTTACTTATCTTACATAACTCTAGTTTGACCTTTGAAAAGATCTATCAAGTTCTACACATAATTTAAACTTTGATCCTCTCATTAACTGTACAAGGTATTTGAGCTTTGATCCTCTCACTAACTATACAAGGTATTTGAGCTTTGATCCTCTCACTAACTATACAAGGTATTTGAGCTTTGGTATAACCACATTACACTATAAGTGGGTAAAAAAAGTCAGTATTATACCGTATTTGCCGTACTTAACACCCAGGCCACTTGGAAGGAAGGGGGTCATAAACATTATTGTGTCTGTTGCTGTAACATATGGTGACATAACTGTCCCACACATTCCCAGGGAGAGTTCAAAACTGTCTCCCCCCCCCCGCTTATATCATGTAATAAGTTCTCAAAAAAGGGGAGGAGTACTTATAACGAGAGGGGCGATAATTACAGCGAATACTGTAGGGGGGGTCAGGTTAGATTAGAAGGGGTGCTTATTACAGTGAATACTGTAGGGGGGGTTTAGATTAACGTCCAGGTTTTGCTGTGATCTTGATGACAAGTCCCAGATGTGTGTGACCTGCAGACAATAGTCTAACACAGACTTTGATGCAAGCCATATGATTCTGATCTTTCAGGTGATAATCGTCCTGTGGTATGTCAACTCACTATATATATACATAATTATGTACATACATAATCAAACACAGTAATACAGGTGTTTTTTTCCAATGCCTTTGGGTGTTAGAGTTGAGCTTGGTGCCATATCTGTGTCGTGGTTTGTGACTTATAGTCCTGTACTGGTTGAACTGAAGGGAAGGGAAATCCCTCTAGTCACATATTATGCTTAAAAAGCCGCTAAAAGCACATTTTGTTTTTGTTTAAAAATGTATATCTGACAGTTCAAAAAAGTGCAGTTGCATGAATAATTTACTGAAATATATTTCTCAATGTATTGCCATTGACAGACTCAACCCTTTCACCCCTAGGTAACTTTAGTAGACTCTACCGTGCATTGATCTGGATGAGTCCATTATGGTCTACAGTGGTGAAAGGGCTAAGGATGCAGGCTTTGTTACACTCAGACAAACGTCACTGTTCCAAAAGATTTCTGCACTATATATACCGGTACCCCAAAAACAATGTTTTGAAAAGGTGATTTGAACTTGGAAATGCACATGTCATGGGTTAGATATAAAAGGTACCCAAGAATGTGTAAAGGATGGATTATACATTAAGTGTCAAAGTCGCCTTACTCACAGGGACTAGCCTCGTCTGTCAATACACATAAAATATTATATTATATATTATAGGTGTATTGACAGGCGAGGCTTAAGAACCTGTGCCTTACTAGCTTGGGTAGAGTTCTTCTACAAAAGTATGAACTCATCAATAATGCATTTTGAAAAACAATAAGGAAGATAGCTAAAACAAATATTGGGTGTGTTATGTATAACATTGTATGCAACCTTTAAACAGTGAAATGTAAAACTGTTGTTGTTGACGACCTCTGAAAGTGCAATGAACGTCACGTTTCAGTCTAATGATCTCAGCCAACCGTGACCGTATCATCAAGTTAAATGGTGCAGAGTAATGTTAAAAAAAAAGTTACATGGTACATCGTGGCAGGAGATAGTCCCAGGTTGTTGTCGCGTATGTCTGTGATCAGATACAGATAAGATAAAGATGACAAACACAGATCTTACGTCATCTACTGACCTGAAGGGGTTTTATCCTTTATAATCTGATGTCTTTTCTTATCTGTATTTCATAGCGACTATTTCAAATACATGTATGGCGTTGCTATGAATTTTCACTTTATCTATGAGCTTTTTCAGTATCGGCCAAAGATTCAACCCATGTACTGCTACCTATTGGTACAGTTGGGTGGACTTGAGCAATACATTATGTAACTGCAAAATATCTAGTGCATTCACCGTCGGTAGAAGTGCAATGTACTTATAACTCCACAGCATACTGTCCTACTGTTTAGTATAGGGGAATGTTTCACTAGTGATATCACAAACTCATTCTTTCTTAGTTGATCAGTAACATGGCGGTGACATACCTATACAAATTAATAAAATAATAAGATTCACTAAAAATTGATAATGACATGATTGAAATCACAGCTTTTCAG